TGAAAAATCACCGGAACGAAATCTTTCAAACCAATTTCGACACTGCCTTTCTTTTAAGGCTTCATCTCCATATACGGCACATAACTTCTTTTGTGCTTGCGATGCGTTCTTGCCTTTTCGGAAGTAATACAATAAAATGTGTCGGAAGTGGACGTCCTGTTCTTTCATTTTTAAATTGGGATAAAAACAAAACTAAGGAACTAAACAAAAAAAATTTTTTACTTATTAACCTAGAAGCCCATACAGTAAGAAAAAATATAGGTTAGATGCTCTTGCCACGTTAACAAAACAAAAGAAAGTATACAGTGAATCCGTCAACAAAAACGGCAATGACTTAGTTGCCAACTCAATAGAAGAGGGAAGGGGGGAGAGAGAGGGGGGAGAGAGAGGCAGAGGAAGAGAGAGGCGCATAAAAGCCTTTGAACTAGATGTTTGTCGGATTCCATCTTGTATGCAAATGGGTTGAGGACATGGGGAGGTTAATTATAGGTGCAAATAGTATTAAGATTATTGATGGAATTACAAGCGTCTCAGTGAGTCAAAGTTCATTTATTTGCATTTCTTGTAGAAGTCGTGTTACCTTTCATCTTACCTTCCCACAATATGTTATTATTACTCATTTATTATCCAATTGTTTGCATACCATATTCACTTCACCGTTTCGATTTTTATTTAGTTGGTATAACCCACCAAGCGCACTGTTACTGACGCATCGGAAGTAGATTGAGCTAATAACCATGGCAACACTTGCCAAGGCCAGCATGTGTGCAGAGTAAATTAATTTGAATCATTAAATCAAGATATGCATAGCCATTGTACCACTCTGCTCTTGACAGAAGTAATCATTGTGGCAAGATGAATTCTTCATCTTGCAATTGTATCCTTTCACTCTTTCCTGCATTGTCCTTTGGATGTTCCACAAAAAATTACGATCCCCTCTTAAACTCACGTAACGCCTTTGTGACTTACTCTTCTAAACTACCACAGAACAGTGACCAGAGGAAATTTTATGTTGGCTGCAAATACCCAAAAGGTGGCATTTCTAACCCAGGCGGAAACTCCACTGGTTCCAGAGTCAGCGTTATCCCACGTTCTGCAGAAAAACCGCCTTCTTCAACCCTCCGACCTAGCCCTACAAGCAACAAATACCCAGTTACCAAATCTCAAAACCCACCTCCCTCTATTATTTGGACCCCCACACACCCTCATGACTTGAGATGCAAGGACCGCTTCAGTACTCGCAGCATGTATTGTTATGCCATTTAGTGTGGAAGACTGATCGGGTGGTTATATTTACATGTTTACGGATCATGTAATTCGGTGTTTCGTGGAATATGAGATAAAAAAATCCTTCGTGAACTTACAAATTATGTGAATTTTGAGGGAGACGAGGAAATGCCACGGCATCACGAGAGAGGGTGCTTGGAGGTAAAGTAGATCTAAGAATTGTGGTGGAGGAGGGGGATTAGAGGCTGCGAAGGCTGGAAGAATAGTGAAAGCAATTTCTCTTGGATGATCAGAAGGAGGACAGGACCGTGAAACACTGACAGCAGCAAGTGAAATGCCTCGTAACGGGCATATTTTTGCCTATTGTAGTGATGTGGACTTGAGGTTAATTGCAGAGTTGCTAACAGAGTACTTTAAGTGGCAACTTGCGACGGAATATAGACACACATTATAAGCCTGAAGATTATGAGTGATCAACAAGGGAACCACTAATGTGTGTGTGTGTGTTTCTTTAAGACTAAATCTCATTTGCTGAGAAAGCCAAGCTGTTAAAGTAGACTGGCAATAGTAAAAGCACAACAAAAATGAAACAGTAGGGAGTGAATTTAAAGATAGAATATTATTCGCCAATGGGACATGGAATTTAAACTCTTGGTATAGAGCTATTAACATGTTTAGGATTTGATGACACTCAGAGAGTTGGAAGTAGCCTACCTTGAGTGTCAACGCTTATGGGCACGATGTGCCTAGATTTTGACCGAAAGTTTGTGCAAAATAGTGAAAAAGAATGTGGTGCGGATATTTGCCAGTGGTGATCATATGGTGATAGTCCCATTGAGATACAACCAGAGACAGTAGGGGGTATGGACAATGGAATGGACAGAGAGGTAGAGGTAAGTTTACAACAATAAGGCGTCAGCAGCAGTTAAACCTCGAAGGTAGCACATCACTAGGATCCCACATATGAGATAATTGGACCCACATGCGGTAAACCAGCCCATAGTTAAATTTCTTATTATCATAACATTTTTCGCAGGTTCTCCATAGAATAGTACCACTATCAGTTCTCACTATGAGATCACTAGAATCAAACTATTTCTTACGAGAGTGCGTTTGTTGGGATATTACAAACTAGTTGCTTCTGGTGTTGTTGGGCATGTCCACGAACAAGTCCTCTTCGACGTTATCGTGGTGCCAAGCTGAACTACTAGTGGTGACGTTTAATTAATTGAGTTCAAGAGATTTGTACCAACCAATATTGGTAGACTAAAAAAGGAGGTACTGAACAAAAATGATAAGAGAGACGTCATCACTCAACACTGAGCAGGAGTGGCATAAAACATAATTTTTACAAAATTATTTCATATATTCCCAATTGTTCTCTCCTTATTTGGTTTACAATTGCTTATAGATGCTCTTCCGTATCCTGTCGGTCTATATAAATTTTTTTGAGCTATGCATCAAGAGGACAGTCTAGAAGATATTTTTTTTATATCAAATGGCAGGCGTTTTGATGGCCATCATTAGCCCTTTAGTTGACTTCAGGCTTCACAGAGGGGAAGGAACATCAAAGTGAAAAAGGTCGAGCGTTTCACAGATGTAAAAGAGACAGACACTAAGGTAGAGAAAAGGATAAGGTAAGGTAAGTACAGTGGAAATGGTCTAATATGGCATTGAGTCGGGTCATGGTGGGTCGAAATCAGTGGTCAACTGCCGATTAATAGACTTTTTAGCCGTATGAAAATACGTTGCTCTGGGTGCGCCACGTGGAGGTAATTCTATCAAAGACCCCAGTCTAGAAGATATAACCTTTTCACTTTTATAATTAATGACGTCTATGCACATTGAGAGGTAAGACATTGATTATTTGCTATTTTATGTTATTAGACCTCAATTAGTGAATCAGGTTACCTATATTTTTTCATCGATTTCAGTAGTAAACATGTCTGGGATCAAAAGGTGTCCTGCTAGCTTTATACTCACCCCCCCCCCTCCCCTATGGTAAGGTAGTAGAAAGAGCTTTAAATAGATCGTTACTAGGGCGCATCATATAGATAAAACAACTCAATATTTACTTATATCAAATGGCAGGCGTTTTGATGGTTATCATTAGCCCTTTAGTTGACTTCAGGCTTCACAGAGAGGAAGGAATATCGAAGGGCAAAAAAGTCGAGATAGGGGGGGGGGGGGAGGGAAGAGAAGAGTGTTTCAAAGATGTAAAAGAGATAGACACAAAGGTAGAAAAGAGGTGAGGTGAGTACTGTGAAAGTAGACAAATATGATATATAGTGGGGTAATGGTAATTTGAAGTGAGAAGGCAACTGCCGGTTAATAGACTATTTTTTGCCGTTTGTGAATACGTTGCCCAGGGTGCACCACGTGGAGGCAAGTCTATCGCACACCCCAACAACTAAATATGAAAAGACGCAAAGAGCTTCACAATGAGCGATGACTGTGTAACCTGATCTGCGCAATAGTCCATTGTGCTGCCTGTATGACTTCCCCATTGGTCTACTCTGCGTGTGGGTGTGTTCTTCACTTTGGTTCAGCCAGGTTGCTAGGCCTCATCAAACACCCTTTGGGCTAATAAATGCAAAGATAATGAATTGGGAAGTGTGGAATTACAAATAATGACTCAAATACGTCATGAACAGGCTATTTTGAAGTCTTGAAGGTCTTGACTGTGCACGAAAGCACGTGCGCTTTTGAGGAGTACAAAAACGGTTGGCGACACCCGAAAATTCGCCATAAGAAATGGGTAGCAGCTCCATTTTCCTTGAAAGAAAAGCACTAATAAAGCACTTTTAAACCCCATAGCTGCTTTAAGCAATCATTAAGCCGTATTGAATCTGCATGTGCTGCCTAGAGATTATCATGTTTAGTCAGAGAATGGTAAAGCCGCAGACCATCACATTAATCGGACTTGACCAAAGTGTCTCCTATGATTTATAGAAGACTCTAATTTCTATCGCTATAACCTATTCGCCTACTTGATAGATATAGGCTGCATACGACGCAATTCCAAGGAGACAAGACAGAAAGAAGCTACTTAGTTAATTAAACAAAGACTGGATATAGATGAAAATAAGCCTTCTTCATACTACTAATGTTTGGTCAGAACACCACTGGGATTATAGCATTTTATGGGTGTAGTGTGCAGCCAGATACCGATAAGAAAGATGTCCCACTTGGCTAATGCCTGTGAGAAGTGATCATTCTTCAGACATAAAAACAGTACTACGGCTTTGGCCATTGTTTCACTTCGGACTGTACTGAATGACAGGTGAATCCTCGAAATAATTCATTCTAGCTTAGCTCTTTGGAAATCAATACAAATATAGAGATTGCACAGTTTTACTAGTCATAATACAATATGAACACAGGGGGCGGAACATAAATGCGCTACAAGGATTGGAGGGTTAAGATATACAGTTTTCCTGCTTAGTAGCATGTTGATAGAAGTCATCCTGATGATGAACACCATAACTGCCAAGGCAAACACCATCACGTGACTCCTTTAAATGAGGAACGTACGAGGTGGAGGTACACTCTTCTTGATGTCGTATCGCTTTGTCAGCATCAATCTCTGTATTGCCCTTCAAGATAACCCGTTTAGCCGGCACTAGCACCATTGCCTCTTTTCCTTCTTGCCAGAATCCAATCAGCCGACTAAGACAATTTATCCGAGACTCCATAATACTCTGCGAAGGGGATGATAATACAAGATCTTGGATATGCTCCAATTGGGGGGCCAATTGGGACATCATGTCAGCCATATTGGGATCATTCTGATGCATAGCGGGGATATTGTGAAGCAATTCTTCGTTGTCTTCAACAAAGTAAGCGGTTGGCACTTCCGTAGTAGTCGTTGGCATTTCATTCCTTGTAGATGCTCTCAATCTACTTCTAATATTACGTATGTCAGATAGAGTGCAGGACGAATTGTAAGTGTCTAAAATACGTAAAAAGAAAACTAAATTGACGTGCAATCGATGAAAAATATCCCCCATTAAATATTTGTCATACTTAAATATTGGGCTCAACATTTGAAGCTCTGTTGCATCTACAGACAATTGATAATTAATCTGGCCGGCACTGAATCAGTTGAAAAAAAGACTTGAGACCCCATGGCCCAACTAGGTTCCCATGCTCCCCTTATAACCCCCCCCCCCCTCCCTCCTTACAGCATAAGCTGCCTTCACCATAACTACCTCGCTCCGCATCAGCACTCAGTCTCACCCATCAGCTTCTCGGACCATTTCACATCTCTTTTGTCCGACCTATTCTCTCCTAGAAGGCTTTTACTATTTTGTTGTTATAGCAAATGCAGACCGGTGATAGCAAATGCAAATTTTAATATGCATCAACTAGCGCAGTTCTGTGGCTGCTAAAAAGATCATGCCGCTGAATGCTGTAAATTATGAAGCTACTAAATACAACCA